TAAGATATTATCTGTGTACATATATTACCAATGCCACCCAACTCCCATATATGCCCTTACCCCCCAGCGTTTTGTGTCCATTCGTTATGCTTATACGCATGCATACAAGTCCTTTGGATGATCTCTTATTTCTCCAATCTCTTCCTAAATTTCCTGCTATAATAAGACAATCTGTTTGATACTTTACAGTCTCTGTATCTATATTTTTGTTCATCAGTTTATAATGTTCTTCATTATCAAAAATGAGTGAGATCATGTGGTATTTTTCTTTCATTGACTATTTTATTTCACTTAGCATAATGCTGTCCAGTTCCATACAGGTTGCTGCAAATAGTAAGAATTCCTTCTTTTATATGGCAGCATAGAATTCCATTGTGTACATGTACCATCGTTTTCTGATCCAGTCATCTATTGAGGGGCACCTAGGCTGTTTCCAAATCTCAGCTATTGTAAATTGTGCTGCTATGAAAATAGGGGTGCATATATCCTTTCTGACTGGTATTTCTGTATCTTAGGATATACTCCTAGGAGAGGGATTACTGGGTCAAATGGGAGTTCCACTTTTAGTTTTTTGAGGAAACTCCATACTGTTCTCCACAGAATGCACCAGTCTGCATTCCCACCAGCAGTGCACAAAGGTTCCTTTATCTCCACATCCTCACCAACACTTGTCCTTTGTTGATTTGTTGATAATAGCCATTCAGAGAGGTGTGAGACGGTACCCCATTGTTGTTTTGTTTTGCATCTCTCAGATGATTAGTGACTTTGAGCATGTTTTCATGTGGCTTTTGGCCTTCCTTCTGCCTTCTTTCAAAAAGATTCTATTTAGGTCCGTTGCCCATTTTTATTTATTGGATCATTCATCTTCCTTTTATTAAGTTGTATAAGTTCCCTGTAGATGTTGGAGATTTCACCTTCAATGTTGATTAATAACCTTGCTGGGTAAGTATTCTTGGATTCAGTCCTTTCTGTAGCATGACTTTGTATATTTCATTCCATTCTCTTCTGGCCTGATGAGTTTCTGTTGAGAAATCAGTTGCTAGTTTGTATATAACTTTGCTGTAATTTTCTGTCTCTCTCTGGCTGCTTTTAAGATTCTTATTTTGTCATTGGTGTTTGCCAATTTAATTATAATGTGCCTTGGCGTCAGTCTTTTCAGGTTCATTTTTTGGGGGACTCTGTTAGCTTCCTGGATTTGTGTGGATTTTTTTCTTCCCTATATCAGGGAATTTTCTGTCATTATTTTTTAAACAGGTTTTCTATTCCTTGCTCAGTTTCTTCTCCTTCTGGAACCCATTGAATCACACTGTCTAGGGGTAAGGTCCTAGAATCTGCATAGTAAATTACCAGGGGATTCTAACTGCCTTGAAATTTGATAACTGTTGACAAATGTTGGAGTTCTGCATAGTAAATTACCCAATATTCCCAAGGTAAAATCTGAAGACCTCTTACCACAGAATCATTTGGGGTGCCCATAAACACTCAAACTCCTGAACCTCCTTCTAACCCCCTGACTCAGAATTTAAGTGTGCTAAAATTTGATACACAAAGTAGCTTTATTGTACATATCCAGATACTAACCCAGAGAGAGAAGTGACTTTCCCAAGGTTGTTAGTAGAGCTATGGTCACACCCAAGTTTCCAGACAAATCCAAATGGTATCTTGAGGATTATGTCTTAGTTTAGCTTCTGTGACATTCGTAAGAAGGCCTGGTACTTGAAAGTAGCAATATAATTGCTTTGGTAATTGCATGAGCCTAAATAAAAGCTTATTCTACAATGAGTTAGTCGGATTAGATCAAGGTCACAAAGCTCTCTTAAAAGCAGCAGATCTTGCAGGCCCTTCATGAAATGGGGTATCAGGGAACTCAAGAGTGAATTAGTTTTAATATCTAAGTTCACGCTTAACTCTGGCTTAGAGTTAAACTGAAAAGAACACACCCAAATGTCCTGAAATATTTTAATGAGCCTATTTTTGTGCTGTTGTTTTTGTAGTTGAAACTCATACCAGTTAAGTAAATGCTTAAACATATGCAGTTTTGTGTCAGACCTGGTACAAGTTCACTAGTCTGATGGTCCAACCTGTGCATTTGAGTTTCCATCTTTCTCTACTTATCTCCCCAAGCCTGTAGTCTGGAACTCCTCAAGACTGGAATTATCTGCCCCAGGATCTGCTGGGATAATCCAATAGAAGGCCATTGACCTCCAGAAGGAGAGCAATTACCTATAAGACAAAGTAGATTTTCTTTGAAAGATTAAGCAATTGCAGTTGACAACAGTGTCCTTGTAGGGATTGCATTTGAGATAAAGCTTATAATTTCAGTGTTTCACTAGTGCTACATAATCAGAAAAAAATGAATGCTCTGCCACCTCAAATACATAATTCTATAAAGAAAAGGGATACCTCTGTAGAGATTCTGGAACTTGTGAGGGTGGAGATAAATGGCCAAAGGCACTGACTGAGAGCTAAAAATTATAATCACACCCTTGCAACAACAACAACAAAAAGTTTGGTACAGGTTCCCAATCCCTTATCTTCAATTCTGAAATAAAATATTCTGTGGGATGGGAGCTATTTTATTTTCATTAACTCAGTGAAAGACTCATTTAGCAGCAAAACCTGAACTGACATGAACTTAGTCTTTATCTCTTTTAGTATAAATATTCAGGATTTTTTCTCATGCAGAAATGTTAATGACTCAATTATGGGATATTTCCCCAGACATCACTGGGAATGTTATGTAAGAAGCAGTATATAATCTGTGTTACCTTTCTAAATTCCAAAACAAAACAAAAATAATTCTAAAACTCAGTCAGCTAACAGACTGTGGACCCAGAATAATGATAACTAACATTTATGGAGCACTTGGCATCTGGATGAAGCTGTGCTAACCTCTTTTCCTCTCATTTAATCAGTAGGTCACTGTAGGACAGGTATTAAAATCATCACCCCTTTTGAAAGTTAGGAAATTAATTCTCAGAGAGGTTAAATAACTTGCCCAGAGTCACACAACTTTTGGTCAGGCCAGGATTTGGATGTAGGTCAGTTTAAATCTAGAAGCTACATGTTGAATTCTTACACTCTACAGCCTGGGAGAGATTAACAGTTGTGAAGGGCAGTGTGGGGTTGTTTGGGCTTTATGTAAAGGTAGAATATCATTTGAGGAACAACCCACTACCTTAAAAAATATACCCACCCCATCTCTTCTTCTCTGCAATGCAATTAATTATAGCTTTATTCCTTGAGGTTCATCTGCATGGCTTTTCACACAGGGACCACCAGCATCAGAAATCTGCTGGGCATCTTATTAAATACAGATTCCTGATGTCCACCCCTGACCTACTAAATCAGAATTTCTAGGGAACAAAATAAAATTTATTCCTATACATATTAGAGTTTGGGGGTAAGAAAGTGAATACCCTTAGAAAGGCCAATCATTGACCTTCATTTGTTAATTTACATCTTAGTATCAGTTGACACATGGTTGGATTAGCAGGACTAAACTCATGGATGGGCACCTGGAAAGTGGAAGGTGTCTGAAAGGTAAATGGGGAGATTTTAGAAGCATGATATATGAAAAAGAAGAAAGAAAGGAAGATATGATAGTATCCCACTAATTTGGTAACATCAATAAGGGTAAAGCCTCACATTGACATTGTCCAGCTGTCAGTCTTGGTAACATATGTCTCTTTTTTGGGGTGGCCACTTAGATCATATGGATTATTGCATTGATACAACAACCCTCTGAAGTAGACAAAATAGGCAAGCTCATTAGATAAAATAAGAGATTGAAACCCAAATGAGTTTCTCAAACTCATCTAACTGATTAATGGTAGTATTGGGGCAAGTTTCTGGCCCCTGATCTTAGACTATTTCACTCTTCCAATAACTTCTTTCATAATCTAGAGAGAGGGAACCATCCAATACAAGCTAGGGAATCAAGTATTAAATTAAACGATGCACAGTTTTTGCTCATTAATGGCCAATTTGAATACATTTGAATGCTATGATACACAAGGAAAAGGCAATGAGAGGAATTACATAGCAGAATAGTTCAACTGGTATACCATATATTTTGGGTTTGTTTTTAACTTTTTCTGGCTGTTTTCTATTTGTTGTCAATGCAGGAAGGACTGCAGAACATTTTGCTTTATATATATATATATATATATATATATATATATATATATATATATATTTTAGAAATTCTGTTCTTATTTCCTAGATTCTTAACCTCACCCCTTCTTGCTTCTGATGTCTTAATCATCTCCATAGCAACCAAAAATGTGACCTCAGAAAGGAACTAGAAAGCCAGAGAAAATGAATTGACTACCACCACAGCAATCAGATCCCACAGCAGTGAAGGCTGGAATTAGGTAACTGAGGGTCAAGTCCAACCAGTGATTATTACAGTTCAAACTGAGTGTTCTTTAGAGCAACTCTTCTCAAACAGTGCATATTTGAATCTCCTGGGGAATCTTGTTATAGTGGAAAACTGATTCAATAAGTCTGGAGTGGGACCTGAGAGTCTGCTTATCTAACAACCTCCCTTGTGATGTCAATTCTGCTTCTTTCCATATCACATTTTGAGTAGCAAGGGGAATGAACTGAGTAGTGTATGCAAATGAGCATATCTGTGGTACCCAAGAAATTTCTGTTTTGGATAGCAGTCCTGATGAGCATGCTGGATCTAATATTAACTAACTGTGTTACTTTGAGCAAACGTTTTTACCTCTCTGGATCTCTGTTTTCTCATCTGTGAAAGTATGAATTTGATGTGGATGATCTCTAAGATCACTATGGATTATAAAATTATTTAAGTCTCTGATTTAAAAGATAAATAAAGGTACTTTAGAACCAAAGGCTTAATCTGAGGGCAAATTCTTATATTATAAGGGAATGGGGAGAGAAACTCACTGTATCTTTTATATTTATCTTCTTAATTCAAAATCCTCTATTTGTCCTAAGGTAATTTATTTCTTCTGAATGTGCAGAACATTGGCATTTTCCATGAAGAAGAGGTGATATTCAGTAGTGGACAGCAGTTTTTGCCATCTCTCCAGCTCAGCTCTCAGCAGCTCCTTGTGACTTCATAGCTAACAGCTTTGGCTACTTGCTCATGATATTGTCTCTTCGATCACAGAGCAAACCCACTGTCTCACCACTGGTCTACTAAACTTGTACTCAATTCTACTTAGTTCCAGAAGATATAATGGAGACAAATACAGAATCATCACCTAGAATGCAAGTAGAACATTCCTCCCTTTGGGTGGAGAACCTTATTCTGCAGCCACAAGTGCAGCATCTGGCTGAGGAGAATATTAATCTAAGGGACCAAGTCATGCCTGCTCTGGCCACCCCAATGATGTCTTTACACTGTTCACTTAAGAATCTCTCCCAGTTTCATGGTGACCCTGCCAATATCTCAGGGTTTCTTGCTCAGGTGACTAACTATTTGACAACTCTCAAGAACACCAATCCCATACACGATGCTCAAGTCAAATTATTTTTTGACCACCTGTCTCAGCAGATGGAAAGTTGTGGGATGATATCTAGGTCAGAGCAGAATGCTCTGTTGAAGCAATATGAAAACTTTGTTCTTGAGTTCCAGCAGTCATTTGGTGAATCCAAAAGACAGGAAATAAACCCTCTGGTGAATGCTAATGTTGATGAAGGGGACAACTCCTCTCAACAGGATGCTACCATTTTCCAGCCTCTTGCTCAAAATCTGAGCTATAATAAAACCAATGAGAGTGATCACTTCCAAGAGGGCCTACCTGAGCCCATTCAGGATGAAGTGAGTGGCACAGATATGATGGACAACCTCCCAGACCTGATCACTCAGTGTATTCAGTTAGACAGAAAGCATAGTGCCAAGCCAGAGCTCTTACAATCAGAGGCTCCACTCCCAGTGTTGTCATCACTGATCCACTACCAAACCCTCTCCAGCTCCTCATGTCCATCATCCAAGGAGCATATACAGCTGAGAGGAAGCCAGCCACCTCTCACCCCTGCCAAACGAGCCCGCCAGCAAGAAACTCAGTTGTGCCTCTACTGCAGCCAAGCTGATCACTTCACAAGAGATTGCCTTGCAAAACGATCACGAGCTCCAGCAAGGATAAATAACCCAGCTCACCAGTAAGAGGAGCCAAGGCATGTCCCTTTGTGAACTTACATTCCTCTCACCTCCAGCCTTACTGATTTATATCCTGCACTAAACATTTAAAATACAGATGGGAACTGTGATACCACTTTACACATTCATGTCCTTCTGGAAATTTAAATAACCAGATATTATTTATTTGTTGACCCATCACCAAACTTAACCCAACAACGATTAAAACAATTCACAGGTATCGATACTTTCTGCAGTTGGTACTAATTTTCCAAGAGTACTGTAACCCTGCAGGCAAAACTCTGCCTAGTCTTTGCCAATGAAAATGAGCCTGGAAATACATTAAGAACCTCTTCCCCACCAGTGGGTGAGATCTAGTTTGAGTCTTCTGTGCCAAGAATGGGACCACTCTTTTTACCCTCACCCTTATTGTTCCCTGTTGGTTTAAGACTCTGGACTGAAGACCTAATTTCATTTTTGTATTTCCTACCAATATTATCCTACTAGAGGCTGGCTCCTGCTCCACCTGTTGACTAGAGTCCAGCTTCAACACAAGCCAACCTTCATGGAAGCACAGTTCTGCCACCCTTCCATAGAGCTATATTTTGTTGCCATCATACTGGGTCTCTTGGCTATTGATAAAACAGATTGCATGGCCTTTTGAACACTGTTTGGAACTGTTAGTCCACTACTAGCCCTTCAGAGAGGTACATATTTTTAGCCAAGCCCTAACAAGTCCAGCTTACTTTCCTTTTGCCAACCACCTACTTTAGGTTTCTGCATGTTGTATGGCCAAGTTAAAATTGTCTAAGATAATGACTTCTGAAAAATATTTAGTGAAAGTTGGGGGATGGTATCCCATCATAATTACTATGTATGCATTGAAGACTGAGGGTCAATCAGTCTAAAGTTTCTGACTTTAGAGGTTTAAGTGTGGTCACCATGTAGGATCACTGGCCATTTATGTTAAAATCTACTCTTTTTTTTAAATATATATTTTTTATTGATTTTTTTACAGAGAGAAAGGAAGAGAGATAGAGAGTTAGAAACATCGATGAGAGAGAAACATCGATCAGCTGCCTCCTGCACACCCCTACTGGGGATGTGCCCACAAACAAGGTACATGCCTTGTCTGGAATCGAACCTGGGACCCTTCATTTGGCAGGCTGATGCTCTGAGCCAAACTGGTTTTGGCAAGCTCTACTCTTATGGAGACCTTTCGGAATTCCTTGTCTGATTGAGTGTCTTGAAGAGCAATTAATAGCAGGAAACTTTCTGACCCATCTCATCTGAAGAATCCTGGGACATATAAACAAACACCATCTGTACATAAAACTCAAGAAGTGGGGATTGGATTGCTTGTGTTGTATTCTTGACATATATCAGCTCTGATTATGGATTCCTAATGCTTCTGTACAAACATCATACTATGCTGGAAAGGCACAACTTTCTAAAATCTCAATGATATCCAGTGATGATCAGTGATTCGTAGTAATTACCAGTTCTCTATTCTTTGCTTTGTAGTACTGATATATGTTACCATAATGGATCCCCTGGAGAAAAATTGGTAATTCCATTTTTCCTAGCAGCCACCAAGACCTCTCAGAATATAAAGTGCAATTGTACTTTGGCCTTATTCCTGGAGAATTATGTTAGCATTGGCAATACTTAAACTTAGCTAGGAGCTTACTACTCTCATCTTGTAGCACTACCAGATATTTCTGCCCATCAGTGCCTCGCTAGCTACTGTACCAACCCTTATTTGTATTCACAAGGGGTCTCTTTTGTCAAAACCTTGCTGTGTATCCATTTTACTACATGTGCTCTCACAACAAGGAGACCTGAATGCATATATTTCAGTTGTTCCAAGAAATTATCACGAGGATACTAGGATTATATGAGATCCTCTAGTCTAAAGGATAGATTTACATGAACTTTAAGTGACTTGGGAATTACCAGGAGGTATCCAAATCTAGCACCACCAATTCTGTAATAAAGAACTCATCGAATGGCCTCAAGTCATTTTCTTACAAACCCTAGTATGTTCTTGGAGTGCTAATGGTAGCATTCAATTGGCTTCATCGCCAATCTTTCCTTATCTTAGAGACCTAATTTATCATTGTGTGCCCTCTCACAAAAATATGTCACTTTGTTTCCTCTTTGGACCTTACCTCTGCAGCAAAATTACTTTTTTTCTCCAAGAAATCTTCATATTTCATATCCTCTCAGAATAGATAATCAACCCTGGGCTATTAACTTCAGTTCACCTCCCACTTCTAGAAGCCATCTCTTGTACTCTGTGTGATAAAATCCAACAGTGAGACTGAACATATGAATAGGATGCTGAGATAATACTTTAATGCTTACTAGCTAGCAAACATTTTATTTACCACTTCAAAATATTTTATAGTGACACCATCCACTTCAACTATAATTAATTCGTTACTTACCATAAAGAGTTACATGGACGAGTTTTCAGAATATATACCATAGTGAACTGTTCTGAGAGTAAAGCAAGTAAAAATTTACAGAAAACAGATTAAATGTAACCTACTGAATTATGTAGTTTGAAAATGTAAATGCTTTGTGTGCCCCCAGGTATAATCAAGGTTGTAGTGTTAGGGAGGAAGTTCTGCTGTATAATTGATGCCACCCAGCAAGATAGGATCTAATCATTTTATGATGCATTAAGAAAGAATTATTTATAAGAAAATGTTCTGCATGGAATTAAAAAAAGAGGCAATTAAGAGCCATAGGATACTCATAATCTCTCTAGAGTCAAAGAGGGGATGTTGACCAGCAAATGATTTGGTAGGTCTACCTATAGTGAGGTGAGGTCATCTCAATTTGTGTCATTAGCCATTAAGATTGTCACCTAATTCCCCTTGCTCTAACTCTATGCTCAAAAAGTAATATTTTCCTGTATAAAAATGTTCTTATGAGAGAAAATTTACTAACCAGGTGGTACGAGTGTTCTAGCCTAATTAATTCTTATTATAAATGAATAAATTTGTTTTTGGCTTATACAACATTTTTTGTAGTTTTAGTAGCACCAATCCTCCAGATTATAATCGCCTGTGAGCCCACTGTAAAAAAATAAGATTTTTCACTATGCAAAGTCAACACCACAATGTGAATCATAGTGAATCCACTGAATATTAACCTCCCTGAGAACCTTACCCCAACAGTCAATCAGCCTCACTCTATTTCTCTCATTTGTCTGCAACTATAATAAAATTTCAAAATACCTATGGGTTTCATTTCCTGCACTTTCCTTCACTCATATTCAGCACCATGGTACCTCCCATAAGCCATTACTTCTTACAATACTACATAGTTTAGTCAGATCATCATAATACACTGTCATGGATGAAGACATGTTAACATAAGCCCATGTGAAGAAGCTTTGAAGAGAGAAGAGTGTATATGGCTGACCTAATTCTCACCATCTCCATTCTGTCCAGATGGCAACACATAAGACCCATAATGTCACTGCCCTAACCTCTATCCATGATGGCAAAACAAATATTACCCTTTTCTAGATTCTGGAAGATCTTCTACACCCAGCACCATCTTGCTTATGACCACAATAGCCATCTCTGAAATAAAATAGAGAATTTAAGATATATCAGCATCTTGGCAAAATCTAACATATCATGCCCTTGGGAAAGCTCTTGGAACTTGTACCACATCTGTAAATCTTTCTACATTGGTGACGATCTTTCACTGTCTCTCTATGAAGCTTCAGGCCTCATTTAGCCAAGAGATTGGGAAAACCTTCAAGGGACTGTCATGTCATAAATCTTCAATGTCACCTTCATACAAGGGTTACTGCTCACATTTACAAACTAAAATGCCTGAAACGAGGTACAACATTTAGTAGTCAGTAGAAATCTCCTGGTACTCAGACCACAATTCCCCATCATTGATAATGACTATTTGAATATTTGAATATTCATGCACTAAAATATTGATATTACTTCTTTATGTATGCTTAAATTCTTGGGTCTATTTGAACCTGTTTTCTGATCAGTGACTTCTAGTGCACACATAACATGGCACTGGCCCTTTTATCTATCTAGTTCAGCAATCAGCCAGTTGTGACTATTTCACCATTTGCTTCATAGTAACCCTTCATTGTGGAAGACCATGAAGAATTTCAGTTTTCCTATGCACAGAAAACTTGTCTCTTTGGGCATATAATTTGGCTTTGTGTGCACCTAGAGTAAGGGAATTTATAGTTGGTGGGTGAGTGGTTCTGTGATTAGTGCTTTAACTTGTTAATGATAGTCATTTAATTTCACATAATGATATCCATTTCTGGCTCTTAATGCTCAGGTAGTGTTATAAATTCAATAAAAGATGATGAAATGAAGGTTAAGAGCAGTTAACTTACCAGCCCTAAAGTTATGCAGCTAGTAAGTGGCAGGGCTAGGATTTGAAACCAGTATCTTTCTATTGCCAGAGCCATTTGATCTCTGATAGAAGAGGGAAACACTTTAATTCCTACTGCTGGTGACCCACCAAACTGACCCAATTACATCTCCTATTAAAGCATCCATCTTTTATAAAAACTGCTGTTTGAAAATTTAGCCCTGCTATTTGGCTTCTGTAAATGCTTGCTTGCTTAAATAATAAGGAAAATGAGACTGCTCCCACTTCAGAGAGACCATTAAACTTTCCCTGCACAAAATTATCAGTGCTGGCACCAGGCCAGGCCTTTGGTTGAGGTCTCAAGGCTCCAGCACATAGGGGCTCTTTAAGAACTTGAAAAAAGGGCCGGAAACACCTCATATTTGGGAGACAAAGAAGGTAAAAACATATAAATAGGGAAAATTCCTTCATGTTGGGCCCAGAATTTGAGCAACATTTTCCTCTGGATCCACACATAATAAATGTAACTCCAAACTCTCTGAAAATTGTTTGATTTATTCCTGTTCTCTGTAACATTATTGGTTCCCTGAGATTTCAGGACAATCATCCCATGCTTGGCTTTTTAGCCTCTGGTGAGTGAACCAGGTTTTGGGCCTGGGGAAGCCAGATAGGCCTCCTGGAGGTGCCGTTCTGCTGATTTAGCAGAATTGAACCGGGGGACTCCAAGTGCTCCCGGACCTCAGCCCAGGACCTGACCAGCATCTGGAGAGAGTGGACAGACACTTCTGGACCTGTGGAGAGAATCAGTTCATCCCACTCCAAGTGATTGAAAGAGGGAGCTTGATCGCCTTCCTAGAAACCATATGGCTTCCTCAGGCAAATTAATCAGGAATCAGGTGGACTGTTTAAACTGAGTAAATACCTGGTAGAAGTCAAAAACTCAGACTAGGTAGTATATAAATGTGGGGCTCTGGAGGTAAATGAAGGAATTATTAATTCACTCTGCTGTTTGTTTGTGTGGGACTAGCCAATTTGCTACCGAGAAGGGGGACTGGACACAGTCTTAATTTCTCTGGTAAGTTCTCACCAAGATGTTGGTCCAGAATTCTGTTCTGTGGCATGGGTGCCGGGAGTGCCCACAACGCCATCTGAGGAGTTGGGCATTGCTTCATTTATCTACTCAGCTCCAGTTTGGGTTAGTCTACTGAGAGAGTATGAGTATGGATGTTTGTCTGTCTTGACATAATTATCTGCTCATTAACTGGTCTGTGTGAAGAGAAAGCTACTTTGATTTATTCTGCATTTCTGTTGATTCATGGGGCTAAAATGTTTGATTTATTAAAGGCTGAACCTGTGATGGTCTGCAAACATCTTAAGCATTGCTGCTGAGTTATTTTTCTCAGAGATGTTTGCTTTCTATCACAGTGGAAGGGAATCAGCCCATTTAGCTAATAAAAAGGTTTGTATATTGGTTGCTCTTCCCTGAGATGTGAATTTGCTGCATTAAATTGAAATTTTGAAATCCTAGTGTTAATTTAAAGGTATAAATTTGTGACATTTCAAAAAACAAAGAACTTTCATTTATGGTTTTCTTATCTCTTTTGGTGATCAGAGACTTCCAGGGGCAGGGCTTACAGTTCTGCAGG